AAGTATTCACTTTGCACCCGAATGATGTAGTTCGCTCCCATAGTAATAATATATTACAGCTTCCAACTCAAGAGGCCCAGCCATACGGACAACCACTCCAAGACTTAATTGATCTTAGCGCATTACATCGTGATATAGAAAATCTGATCTCGACCGCTCGAACTGACTTTGCAAACAATCCACTTGACCCCTCACTTCAACAAAAGCTTAAAGCCCTTCTAGACCTCCAGAACATCCTGCAGCAGCAAAAGTTACCCCAAGACCAGCTAAAACTCATTCGAGATCAGGTATCTCAGCTTTCACCAACGCCCAAACCCCAGCTGCCCCCTCGAGTTGTTCCAACTCCTCCCGTAACACAGGGACCAGTTCAACCAATACAAAGCCACACCCCTCAGCCAAACCTTCAATCTCTTCTAAATCCAGCTACAATTGCCGAGCTTATAAAGGCGACAGCGAACCAGCAAAGCCGAACGCCGCCGCCACCACCGCTGCCCCATATCGCACCGTTTCTACAGCCTCAGGCTAGCAGCACTCCGCCTCCCCCCCCACACTCTACAGCACCTAACCTAGCAGAGAATCCCTTGATTGCTTCTCTTAGAGCTCGAGGCCTCCTTCCACCCGCCGCTGCTTCTGCTCCACCGACACCTCCCAATCTACCTTTCATTCTCTCCGGACAATCGGTATATACGCCACCTGCTGTTATATCACAATTACCCAACCCACTTGAAGTCAAAATTAATATCCAAATGACTTCAGCGTCCATCAGGATGTAAGCTCCCTTGTAGTAAAATAATAGAATAAAGTGAATAATGCCCGTAAAAAAGTCCATACATTAACAATTTCCCTATCCACTCTATCTAGCCCGAGGCCGAACTTAATTTCTACCCTGTACGAAGAAAAGTCGAACCGATGTGGTACATGCGGTCGACGCTTTTATTCGGATGACCAAGGAAAAGAGAAAAAAGCAAGGCATTTGGATTGGCACTTCAAAACTAATCAGCGCATGACGGAAGCATCCAAGCGTGGACAAAGTCGTAGCTGGTATCTGGATGAACGGGTAAATAAACCATGTTCCTTTCTTTCAGTAGGAAACCACAGTTATTAACGGCCAATAAAACAATAGGAATGGATAAAATCTCGAGAATTTGATGATGATACTGGCCGTCCAACAGGCGACAGTGCAACTTTCGCGAACGGATCGATGTCAGATTCGACTGCGACTGCGGCAAAGAAATCGTCGCAAAAGCAATGGATCCATGCACCCAATGACGCAGCGCTACGCAATGCTCCATGCCCAATATGCCAGAGAAATTCGAGTCGACATGGTCTGAGGAGGCGCAAGATTGGATCTGGCATGATGCTAGTAAGGTGGGGGGTCGTATATATCATTTCCAGCTGCTATTCAGAGGTCGCGAAGGATGGGCTAACACGGGACGGGGTACACTGTGGGTAGAACCGGGGAACTCCAGACTCTGTCTTAGGTAAACGGAAAGCAAAGGTATGAT